GAGGGATGCTGCATCATCATCATGATCATCATCATCATCGCCACCATCACCACCATCATCATCACCACCATCACCACCACCATCATTATCGGCATCTTCATCACCACCGTTATCATCACCATCCCCATTATCATCATCACCACCACCATCATCAATATTACCACCAACATCATCACCACTGTCCTCCTCCTCTTCTTCTTCCTTCTCCTCTCCTCACTGTCTCTAACTCTGTTTGTCAATCATAACTCTGAAAACGAATGTAAGATTTCAAGGTAGGACACTAGTCATTTGATTTTTATCTTCAAAGACCATCTCTCTCCTCTCCATATAAATGTCCAGAACCAAGGATGTCACACTTCTGGTCTCAAAGCCATAAAGAGCAGAGAAAATCAGTTTTGTTATAAAACTGGTGAGCACAAAATTAGGTAATCCTGCAAACCTATTTCAATCCATTTCACATAATATGCAACAAGATAAAAAAAAAAAAACAAAAAAAATGCAACAAGATAAAAAATTATAGATCAGTCTAATTATAAATCTCCATGTGAAAATTCTACATAAGCTTATAGAATTCACAGAGTATGAATGAAGAATACACATCATTCAGTGGGCTAGTATGCAAATCTTTGGTACCAAGAAGTCTTTCAAATGTATCTCACTGGGGCTATAAATTTAAAAGAATAAGCCTGGAGTTGTACAAGCCCAGAAATAATTCCTAATTTATACTGAGTAAAGAATTTTTTCTGAAGCACCTGGGTGGCTCAGTTGGCTAAGCTTCCCACCTTGGCTCAGGTCATGATCTCATGGTTCACAGGTTTGAGCTCTGGGTCAGGCTCTGTGCTGACATCTAGGAGCCTGGAGCCTGCTTTGGATTCTGTGTCTCCCTCTCTCTGCCCCTCCCCCACTCGTGCTCTGTGTTTCTCTTTCTCAAAAATAAATAAACATGAGGAAAAAAGAAAAGATTTTTTTTTTCTAATGAAACCTGAATGCAACAGAAAAATAGACTGAAATGGACAGGTTAGTATCACTATATGTATAAATATATAGATTTTTTATGTTTGTCTTAAAATAATTAGGGATATCAATGAAGATATTTTCTTAAAGCAACACTGAGTTTTGTATTAATGTCTTACATTGTCATCATTATTATAAGGTATTTGCTGTAAGTAAACTTGGTGCACAATCTGGAAATGAAGAGGTAAGTTTCTTTTTTTTGAGTTTGATAAAATTATTATCAGTAAATCAAAGCAGATCAATTGTAAAGCAACTGAAAAGTGGAGAATCTGTACTGAGTTAATAGAATCATAGAATATAAAACTAATTTAACCAAACCAGTATCGTTTTGTATATACTTAACTATTATTTAGAAAGAAAAAAATCATACTTATAAATGAATAAAGTAGTTGAACAACTTTTAAGCTTTGAGTGTAGACAAAATAATGAATAATACGTTAGAATGTGTCTGCATTATTTATAAACCTCATTTCTAAGCATTTGTATAAAAGAAAACTTCATAAGGGCAGCAGAGTGGTGCCCACAGGTGGGGATACTTCTCTTTCGGGGATTGTCTCGTGGGGGCTCCACCTGCACCCACAGCAATTTCCACCTTGGCCTGAGAAGCTCCAGTCATGATGTGAGAGGGCTCAGGTGTGGGTGGTCTGCCCTCTATGACTGTCCCAGGTCCCCACCTCCACCAGCCCAGCATCCTCACTGTGCTCCAAGTCAGGCCTGGACACCAAGCGCTGCCATCCCACCCCCTCTCCATCCTGTATCCCACACATTCTCCACACCTGGCTGGAGGCCTAAGAATTGTGGTGAAAAGGGCTGGGTGGCTTTTAGGAGAAAATCCCACGGTTTTGTGTGAGATGAGGAGGAACTGAGATGCTAAATCAATGGGGATTTCTGTTCTCCATCGTACTGGGACTTCCTCTTGCCCTGCTGAGACCCAGGCCAGATGCACAAAATCACATGGACCTGCATCTCCCACACCTTTCTGAACCTTCCCACGTCTGAGTTCCGGGGAGAGGCAGGACAGTGGGAGGCCAGAAATGGGATCACTGCTGGCAGCCCCCCCTCTTCAGACAGGGAGCACCTTTCTTAGAAGCTCCACCTCTCGGGAGAGCTGAGCCCACAAAGACTCAGCCCCACAGGTCATCCTCGTCTGTCCTACCTGCCTCCCAGTTGAGCAGCTACCCTGCCCCTGCCCCTGGCTAGCAGCCAACACCCTGCTTCTGAGCCAGAGACACCAGGAGGTAAGTGGGTGGGACCTCTGCCCTGTAACCTCAGTCTGACCTCATTTCCTCTCAGGGTCGAGGGATCTAAGTCCATGCCTCTCTCTCCTCAGCCCTGTCTGAGATTGCAGGGGTGGCGATTCCCCTGGTGGGAGGTCCCGCCTATCCCAGCCCTCCTGGGTGGACCCTCCTCTGTGGAACTGCCCCTTGTGATAGTCTTATTGCATCCTGTCTCAGAATTTCCTGTAGACAGCATCCTGAGCTGGCCTTTTCTGCCCAGAGAGGACAGCAACAGGGAGGGACTCCTCACCTAGGACCAGGGTCCTGCCGCGAATCACCATCTCAGGGAGCACTGAGACCCCTCTCCACCCCATACCTCATAATCAAAGGACAGGGAGGTGAGGTGGTGCTGCTCCCCTAGCTGGGCCCTCACCCTCTCCCTCTGCCATGACCATCCCAGCCCTCCTCCCCGCCGCCTCAGAGACCCTGGACCTGGTGGTCGCTCTGGCATCTCTGAAACACAGGAAGGAAAGCCCTTAGACAGATGCCACTGTGACTCACCAGCTGTTGAGCTGGGATCTGTGGGTGGGGGGCTGGGGCCTCCAGAGGTTCCTGAGGAAAAGGTAGTAGTTGAGTAGGGGACTGAGGCTTCCCTTAGAGACCCCGTCTCTGCTCAGTCTTCTCCCTCATGTGCCCCATGACCCAGCCTCAGAGCCCCTGGACATATGTAGTCACCCAGGCATCTCTACTGGAATCTCAGTTCCCCTGAGACACAGGATTATTTCTGAGTATCTGAGAGGGTGTTAGATCCTCTGAGGGGCTCTCAGAACTGATCTTGGGTGATCTGTGCTCAGAAGGAGCACAAACAGCCCAGTAGCACAACAATCTTGAGTTGGATCCTGTGTGTGTGTGTGGGGGGGGGAATTGGGGCTAATCCAGGAGTCCCCATCTCACTCAGACTTCTTCTACACCTGCCCTGTGGCCTCCCCATGACCCTCCCGTTGCTCACCTGGCATCTTTAGACCCAGGAGAAGGACAAAGGGTGGGCAGGTGTGAGAGCGTTTCTGTTGACCTACTGAGGGGCAGATCTCCCTTTGAGTGACCCTCTTTGGAGCGCCACCCCCCCCCCGGCTCCCATCCCAGCCCAGGTAACTCTTGAGGACAGAGCCCTGAATAGATCATCAGGACACAGAGGGCATAGGGCCGGACTCCCTCACCTGAGACCAGGAGCTCCAGGGGATCACTGGAGAGTGACCACATGTGGGGGGTGTTTCTGAAGTAGCCATAGCATCTGAACGTCCACCTGGCGCTGGGGGTCACAGGGCCCACAAGAAACAGGGCCTGGAACTGCCCACTGGTGGGTCGCTGGGAGTCCAGGGTCCAGGTGGGTCTGGGTTCTCCTTCCTTCATCAGGACGAACCTATGGAATCCCGTCCATGAGGTGCACTGGAGGGTCACCTTCCCTCCTGAGGTCACCATGGGGTTGGGCAGGGCTGAGAGAGTGGGTTTGCCATGGAATCCTAGGAGAGGAGGAAGGGACACGTTAAATAGGACACAGATCCCCCCACAGTATCACCAAGGCTGGGCTGTGAGAGGGAGACACTCTGAGAGAAGA